GAAAAATATTAAAAGCTGTTACAGAAAAGAAACAAATCACCTATAAAGGAAAGCAAATCAGAACCACAGCAGACTTCTCAGTGAAAACATGCAAGTCAAAGAAAGTTTGGGGTGAAGTTTTTCAGGTCCTGAAAGAAAAAGACTGCCAACACAGATTGATGTATTCTGAAAATTATCTTTCAAAATCAATGGAGAAATAAGATACTCCCATGACAAAGAAAAACTGAAGAAATTCATAAATTCCTGACCTCCCTTCGCCCCCTCCTCCCTTTCCTATTTACAAAAGGTTTATTTCCATTTTTTTCATTTTGTCATTGTTTTATTTTCACTTATTCCCCCCACCCTTCCCATTTCCCCCACACCTTTAGCCCTTTTCTTTTCTATAAAATAGAATACTACTCAGCCATAAAGAATGAGAATTTAGAGTCATTCATAGGAGAATATATGAATAATGAGGTCATAAATGAAATAAATGAGTCACACATGTGTAACTACTGAATAGTTTCTCTGGAGGGTGTTGCATTTTGTTAAATCCTTTTTCTGTATCTCTTGAGATGATCATAGGCTTTTGTCCTTGACTCTGTTAATATAGTGTATTGCATTTATTGATTTACATAAGTTGTACCATCCTTGCATCCCTGGTATAAATCCAACTTGTTCAAAGTGTATGATCTTTTTGATGATGCTCTGCATTCTCTTAGTCAGTATCTTATTGAGGATTTTTGCATCTATGTTCATTAATGAGGTTGGCCTGTAGTTGTCCTTCTTGGTTGGGTCTTTCCCTGGTTTTGGAATAAATGCAGCACTTGCTTCTAGGAATGAATTTGAAAGTATTGCTTCCCTTTCAATTTCACTGAAAAGTTTCAAAAGTAGTGGCAGTAGTTTCTCTCACAATGTTTTGTTGAATTCAGCAGTAGAGCCATCAGGTCCGGAGCTTTTCTTTTTTGGTAAATTTTTAATTATGTTTTCAATTTCACTGATTACAATTGGGGTGTATAGATTTTTTAAATCTTCTTCATTCAGCTTTGGTAATTCATATGTGTTTATAAATCTGTCCAGTATTTTCTATATTTTCCATTTTATTAGAGTACAGTTTCTTAAGATAGATATTGATGATCCTCTGCATTTCCCCTGGATCTGTTGTGACTTCAAATCTTTTGTTTCTAATTGCATGGATATGAAACTTTTCTTTCTTTCTTTTTTTTTTTTTTGATAAGTTTGGCTAAGGGTTTATTTATTCTTTCAAAAAACCAGCTCTTTTATTTGTTGATTTTTTTTTTTCATTCTCTTAGACTCCATTGCACTGACTTCTGCTCTGATTTTAATTTCCTTCCTTGTATGACCTTCGGGTTTGTCTTGCTTTCTCTTTCTAGAAGCTTAAGATTCAGCATTAGGTGGTTTATTTGAGCTTGTTTCTTGCATATAACATATTGTTGGATTTTGTTTCTTAATCCATTCTGCCAGTCTATTCCTTTTGATTGGTGATTTGAGGCCATTAACATTGATGTTTATACCTGATATGTATTGACATCATCATCATGTTATTTTCTTGGTGTTGGTTCTTTTTCACTTTTCCCTTTCTTTTTTAAATTTATTACCTTACCTGATGGATTTTTTTCTGTTGGGCCTCATGGAGTTTTGATCTTCATTGCCTTTTTCTATGATATTTAGAATTGTTTGGAGTGCTGGTTTGGAATTTATGAAATTTCTTAGTTTTTTTTTTTGTCATGGAAGTATCTTATTTCCACATCAGTTTTGAAAGAAAGTTTTGCAGGATACATCAGTCTAGGTTGTAGGTTACTTTCATTTAGGGCTTGAAATACTTCACTCCAGGCTCTCCTTGACTTCAGAGTTTGTGTTGAAACATCTCATGATTCTGATGGGCTTTTCTTTCGCATGTGATTTGTTTCTTTTCTCGATTTGCTTGTAGTATTTCATTATTTACCTTTCTTGGTGATTTTGGGAACAGCTGTAAGTTGTACAGTGCCAGAAATGGTAAATAAGGAGGATAAAGACACACATTATTTTTTTCAGAGCCTCTGTTTAAGTTTGATTCACTTGGCAGTAGCATTCACTATATTTGTAATCACAACTCCAAAAGATTCAAAAGAAGACTTCCATTACTGCTTCAGAAAGTGGCAGGAACAATGTTTGTTCAAAGCAAGAGAGGCGGGGGATTTAGCTCAGTGGCACCATGCCTGCCTTGCAAGCGCAAGGTCATGAATTTGATCTCAAAAAAAAAAAAAAAAAAAAGCAAGAGAGAGTCTTTTGACAGGGATTAATGAAAATTAGTTTTTTTACTATGATTATATATAAAGCACATATATGTTTATAATACATAAATATTAACTGTATATTTCTTCAATACTGTTCATTCATTTCAATCTATCAACTAAATGTCCTACTTTTACTTTTCAAAAATCCCATTAAATATCCATATGTTCTTATTTAGATGCCATATTTTATTGTTTTACTGTGTCCATTTAAAGTATTAAATATAGCCTTGAGATAATTTAGAGTTGACCGTTCTTCCCACCAAAGGCCTAAGAACTGGCAACAAATAAAGTTTTGTCTTTATTATAATAAATACTTTACACATACATTTGAATGGTGTGTGAAATGGAAAGAAAGATGATTTTTATACTGGAAAGATAATGGGTTTGCAAGTCAATATTATGATTTTAAAATCCCTATTTTAATATATTATTCATGGGACTGAAAGATAATAATCATACATTATTAAAATTCAAATACTTCCTATACCTAATAATAAAATAGTTGGAATATCTGTGTTTAAGAGCATTAAATGAATAACTGAGAAATCCATGTCTCATACTATGTTTGCAATTATTAACTGCCTTTAAAATGATTGAAAAGATCCCATCAGCTATTTGTCTCAGATAAGGCTGTGGATTAAGAATCATAGCATTTTATAGCTTCAGATTATTCAACATCATAAAAATACGGGACTTTATACTTGAAAAACAGAATGTCAAATATTATTAATTAGGAACACTAGCAGTATAACTGCTTACTAATTGGATAGTGACCACTTTTCATTAGGTAATGATGTCATTCATAATAATTAATAATTTTCTATGTGAGAGTTCAAGCCCTAACCTTGATTAGTATGATGGTTCCATCTGTCTCACTGGCTACTCTTCTAGGTTGATTTCTATTTATCCACTTCCTCTCACAATTTCATCCACTTGCATTTTCTATTTTTGGAGAAATCTGACCAAACTCCACAGGACCTGCAATGTACATTCTTTTGAGTTCATTTTACTCACATAAATCTCCACTTGCTTTATAGTCTTTAAAATGCTCAGTCTAGTCCTTAGATTAAAAATCCTACTGCCATGAAGATGATTTGTATTTCAAATTCATAGTGCCCATTTCACAAGGCATTTGGAGTTTCAGACTCATTCACAAGAAAGGGACAATTGGTACAATTCCTCTTCAGGGATTTCTAAACAGATAACTGAGTTGTTCTGACCTTGGGCAAGTAAAGTTACCATAAGCAACTGGGACATTTTGCTTCTACTTATCATTTCAGGGTCACCATCTGCTATTGTAAGGGTGATGTGTTATGGGAATTAAAGGCACAAAATTTAGAAGGACTGTTGGGCAATACAGGGATGAGCATGAGTGTCTGCCTCTGAGGAATCATTCTTATGTGCCACTTTGCCAGAGGCTGAGAAAAGTAAAAGGAGCTGAATAAGGGAGATAATTAGAATGGGAAATGGGGAAGGAGAAAGCAGGCAAAATAAATTACACAAAGTTTTTTACTCTGAAAGTCAAAGTTACATCCTGTGTGTGTTCCATTACCTTGCCCTGCTCCCTTTCACTTATCACAAATGATACCATATCCTCCAGCCAGCCACTCACAGAGATCATGTGCTCTATGTAGGCCACTGGGATATGGTGTCTTTTGTTGCTTAATAGGCAAAGAATCAGATAATAAGATTTTAAAAGTGTCATTTCAACACAGAAAGGGCTTATGTGAAAATAGCATTTAAGAATGGCATATTGTTTAGTAAACTCATAACATGGTTGTTGCACTTTCTTATTACTTATTGTATTCCATATTTAAATAAAATTCTGAAGATATTTAAGAATGGAAATTTAACATGTTTAGCGAAATAAATTATATTTGCTGATAAAGAATAAGACATCTGTGTATCTATTTATCTATCCTCTATGTACCTATTTATGTATTTAGTAGTATGATTTTAAGCTATTAGATATAGCTCATATATAGTCTTTAATATTGCATTGTTTGAGTTCTACTTATGTATATCTTTTTGGTTGTCTATAACATACATATACATATATGCATTCAAACATATAAACAAATATTATATATGCACATCTCTGTAATTGAGATATTACTGGAAATATCTATATCTATCTATCTATATCTAACTATATCTATTATATCTAATTATATCTCTGTCTAACTATCATCTATCTAGAGAATCTGCCAAAAAATATAGACACATTTTAACAGTTCACTATATTAATAAATATCTGGAAGGTAATGGCCACAACTATGAGCACCTCTTATAATTGTAGAGGTCAAAGGTAACTTGTATTAATCTCATGTCTCATTAAATTTAATATTAAACTGTTTATACAAGTTTTTCTTCTCCTGATGTACACATTTTTCGTAGAATATAAACAAATATAGATTCACTCTAAATCTGAATTTTGCTTAGTTTGAGCAAAAACAGAAGACTTCCTTTAAAATCAAGAGCAAGAAGACTATGCTGGTAGGGGATTCAGCGCAGTGGCTCCCGTGCCTGCCTTGCAAAAGCAAAGATCCAAGTTCGATCGCCAGGATCAAAAAACAAAACAAAAATAAACAAGAAGACTATGCTTACTCTTTCATTTTTATTATTATTATTATTTATATTTATTAATTTGTATTGTTAGAGAACACTGCAACAGATAGTAATTGAAAAAGACTAGATAAAATTATCAGTAACGAAGAAAATATGGTGCTCGCTTTGGCAACATGTATACTAAAATTGGAATGATACAGAGAAGATTAGCATGGCCCCTGCTCAAAGATGACACCCAAATTCGTGAAGCTTTTATATATTTCTATTTTATAATTCCAAAGAACTAATGCAGAAATTACTGAAATAAACATAAAAATTTAATAATGTATGAGCCTATGAAATTAACACTAAAAAGTCAATACATTAACATGTAAAATTACAAAGCTTAGTTATAAGTCGCATATAAAGAGCACACTTTATTTTAGCAATAATATGAAAAACCAGGACATCAAATATGTAAAAGAATAAAATAAGGTAAAAGCTCTTTAATATAAAAATATATCAAAATATGTACTAAATCATCTTTGAAAATCCTTAATGATAGTTGTCAAAGACAGATAAATGCAATTAAATAGATAGAAATATCTTTAATGTTCTGGTATACAATTACATAATAGTGTAAAGATACTCATCTTACAAAAAATAATTTATAAAAGCAATATGATCCCTATAAAATTTTATCAACAAGAAAAGTTGTAGGAATCTTACCTAAGTGATTCAAAATCCACTTGCCAAGTACTATTAATGACTATATTAAAAATGTGTCCACCATGGTCACACTCTTTTATATCCCAGCACTTGGGAAGCTGAGGCAGGAGTTCCACTGTCCTGAGTTCAAGACCAGTCTGAACTACATATGAGACCCTATCTCAGAAAACAATACAAAAAGCAATAACAATGATAGTATTTAGCTATAAATGTCTCTAGTTTTCTCATTCTTTATGACTGAATAGCACTCCATTTTATATTTAAAAAGCCCACATCTTCTTTATCCATATAGTTTTTCTGTTGTGATAACCTAAAAGTGCAAATAAGGGTCAAAATATATGATAGATATTTTGTAATAGGAAGAAAAGTTCTAAAAATATTTGGCAAATATGAGCAGTAGGGGAAAGGTAAAAAGGGAAGAGAAAAGAAAGAAAATGGAAACAAAGATTTTCAAATAGGGAAGAGTGGAGGGGGAAGGGAGCTGGGGGAGTGGGATAAAATAGGAACCAAGATAAGTCTTATAAAGTTACAAGATAACCATGAAGAATGTAACTGTATTGTGTATATAAAATGAACCAATACAAATTCAGTTTATTAAAAAACAACAACAACAAACAAATGTTGGCTTGGACTTAAACATTAAAAAACACTTTAGGGAATTCTATCTTTACTAATGGCAAATAAATTATAAATTATATTAAAAATAGGTGTTAATATGTGCAATGTTTAAGTGAAGTGTGAAATTTAAAAAATATACTGCAAAAGAAACCATCAGAACTAAAAGACAACTTACAACGTGGGAAAAATTTTCACCAGCTTCTTCTCAGGCAAAGAATGATTATCTAGAATACATAAAGATCTCAAAAAACTCAGCCCCCCAAATATAAAGACCCAATTCCAAAAAGGGAATCTGAAATGGACAGACATTTCTCACACAAAGAAGTAAAAGCATCAAGTAAATATATGAAAAAATGCTCTACATCACAGGTCATTTGAGAGATGCAGATGAAAACAACACTGAAATTCCACCTCACCCCACAAAGAATGGCTGCTATCAAGAAATCAAAGAATAACAATTGTTGGAGGAGTTGTGAGGAGAAACTAACCCTTCTCCATTGTTTGTGGGAGTGCAGACTGGTGCAGCCACTGTGGAAATCAATATAGAGATACCTCAAACAACTAGGATTAGAGGCTCCATTTGACCCAGCCATCTCTCTGCTGGGTATCTTCCCAAAAGAATTAAAGAATCATATCACACTGATATGTGCACACCTATTTTTATAGCTGCATAATTTGTACTAGCTAAAACTTTGAAACAGCCCATTTGCCCATCAGTTGGAGACTAGATAAAGAAAATGTTTTTTTTTTCTATAAAATGGAATACTACTCAGCCATAAAGAATGAGAAATTAGTCGCTCATAGGAAAATGGATACATACTAAGGATATACTCCTAAGTGAGATAAATAAGCCACAAATGTATAAATACTGACTAGCTTCTCTGGTGTGAAAAACTATAATGGTACATAAGATCCTAATGGTATAATTGAACATGTGTAATAAGAAGAAAAGGGCTAAAGGTGTAGCGGAAGTGGGAATGGTAGGGGGAAGGAAATAAGGGAAAAGAAAAAACAAGGAAATAAAAAAAAAATGGAAATAAAGTATTTGTAAATAGGGAAAGGAGGAGGGGTGAAGGGAGGGTAGGGACAAGGGAAAAAAATGAGAACCAAGATCTGTCATATGAAGGTACAAGATCCCAATGATGAATGTAACTGTGCTGTATACCTAAAATGTACCAATAAACTCAATGAGAAAAAAATAAAAAAAAATTCCAGCAATTCAATAAAAGGCAGACTGGTATACCAAGAAAGACGTACAGATAGTTGTTAGTTATATGATTAACAATTAAATTTTCATTAGAGAAATACAAATTAAGAAATTAATTTCTGGAGGGCCGCACAACCCCATGAATTTAATTATTTCAACCTAAATTTATCTCAAATTACAAGACATTAAAATCATAATACTCAAGTGCTGTTTAAAAAATAAATGAGGGGGAATAAAAAATATGTAAGCATCAACTTTCTTACCTATCAAATTTGAAAAGATTCAAAGCACACTCTATTTTATTTTTTGTGGGGAGTGATGAATATTCATTCACTGCTGCTGAAAATACTAAATTGTTCATAATGGTTGGAAGTGAATTTCAAAATACATTGAAAGATTTCATGTTGTCATACAGAAATTCTGTTTCTCGGACTCAAAAGTAAGTACACTGAAAGTATGGAAAACAATTTCTATTATCTAGGCAGTGAAACTCAGGGACCAGTGATATGATGAACAGGAGACAATCACAAACCTAACTATGAAATTGCTCACTCAGAAAAGCAAAGTTACATCAGATTATACAATTTTTAAATTACCAAAATATAGGAAATTCAAGGCATATCATATTAAATATTAAATGACAATTAGGAATGAAATATATAAAACTCAGGCTGTGGATAAGTATGTGAAGCAAATTATCCAGTTTTTTAATTAACAGGCAGGGAGTGAAAGCAGACTGTGTAGTGCCGTTTTGCTTGTTTATTTGTTTAGGTGGTCTGGGGGACTAAACCCAGGACTTTCTAGTGAGCTATATCCCAACCTCTTTTTTTCATTTCTACTTTGAGACAAAGTTGTGCTAAGTCACTGAAATTGAAATGTGTATTTTTCCATTTATTTTCACTAGTACCTGTTTACAGTACATAAAGATTTCATTCATCATGTGGACTTGTTTGTCCCTCCTCCATCCTTACCAAAAAAAAAAAAAAAAAAAGAAAAAAAAAAAAAAAAAAAAAAAAAAAAAAAAAAAAAGAAAAAGCACCCTGAGACCACTGTAATGTTAAGTAAAATAAATCAGAAATACACACACACACACACACACACACACACACACACACACAGTGTTTGCTTCTACACTAGAATCCCAAATTATAAATAATTTGCTAATCAAAATAAAGGATGGATTGAACATACAGGTAAAGCTGATATTTTTCACTTGAGACTTGTGAGCCCCACACAAGAAAGCCAGCCATTCCCTGTCTTGCTTCTCTTTCCCTGAATTCCTTGAAAAACACTCTCAACTGGAAAGTCAGTTCCTGACCTCTTGTTTCTTTCAGATTTAAAACTTCTAATTAGGTTATTCTCTATGAATTTAATTTCTATTGTCTATTTTGAAAATATGAGTTACATATTTATTTTTCTATCTTGGATTTCTGGTATTTCTGCATAATCATTATCATTTAAATAATTTCATTTTACATTACGAATTGCTGACTAAAGAGTGTAATGGGGGGTGTTGAAACAGGATCTCACTATGCAGTTGAGACTGATCTGGAACTCACTATGTAGCGCAGGCTGGGCTCGAACTCACAGTGATACTCTTGCCTCAGCCTCACGAGTGCTGGGATTACAGGCATGCACCACTACACCCACCTGAGTGTAATTTAAAGAAAATTACTTGAAAAGTTAAAAGTGAAAACAATTGTGTGTGTGTGTGTGTATATTATGTATATTATAAAAATTTAAACTCAAAATAAGACTTTATTAATATCACACAAAATAGGTGTTCTGATGAACTATATTAGAAATAAAGATAGGCACTTCATAGTTGTAAAAGGGTGAATTTATTAAATTCTAAAGATGGAACACAAAAGTATGGATCTCAATTATATATGAACAATTATATTGATTAAAATATATATTTTATTAAGATATAGGTTCCCTTGCTTTGTTTTTAATTTTTATTATGTTAATGTAAAGAAGGGTGTGCTTTTCTATCTTTACATTTTCTTTTAGGCTTTATTTATTTATTTATCTAACTCAGGTCCTTGCTCTTGCAAGGCAGGAGGTGGAACCACTGAGCTAAATCCTTGGCCCTTAAGCTTTTATTTCTAATAAATGATGTTTTGATTCAAATATTTATACTATTTCATAAACTTTAATTAAAATTATTATCCTTTTTATTTTCAATGAAGTTTACTGGTACATTTTAAGTATAAATAATGATCAAATTCATCGTAGGGAATTGGTACCTGTATACGAAATATTTTAGTATTTGTTTTTCCATTCCCCTCCCCTGCCTTCAACATTTCTTCCCATCCTTATTAATGAAGTTCTGCTTCTATTTTATTTATCTTTTGTCATTTATTTTTCCTTTTCCATTCCGCCCCATTGTTAGTACCCCTCCCCATTTGAAACTTTTGTTCCTATTTCACAATATCTATCATATATTTTGGTCCTTTTTTACATTTTCAGCTTAAATCAGTGATATTTACACATGCGTCATATATTTCCCTTATTAATATGGTTTCTAAGTGCACACATTTAGCTATAAATGTTTCAAAATTGTCCTTCTTTATGGCCGAGTAATATTCCAATGTTTATTAAAAAATACATCTTCTTTATGCTTTCATTCATTGAAGGACATTTGTATTGTTTCTGGGATTTACCTATTATAAACTGTGCTGCTATGGACATGGGTGTAATTGTCTTTTAATATGTTTTTTTATTTGC